AGTGGTGCTATTTCTCTTTTGTGGCCTTTTAGACTTTTGTTGCCCTAAAATTCCAATTTATTGGGAACTCATTTTCCACCTGGTCTTTCTTGACAGGGTTTTTTTCTACTTTAAACAGTTTCTAAATAAAGTTCTGTATTTCAAGAGTGTCATGTCTTCTGAAGTTTATCTTGTGGTGGGCTTTATGATAAGTGATATGATACAATGCTTGCTTAGGTTCAGACTGAGCTTTTCAATTCCTTCATTGTTTTTACAAATATAAAAACTGTGTTTATTTCTAAATCTGCTTCCTGTTTTCCTTCCTTTTCACAGTAGATTTCTCAGCCTCTCACCATTTTAATTTGTCATATTACAAAGGGGTTGTAAACAGAGGGATTTTTCCTCACCTAGGTTTCATGCTTGGCTCAGCTGCCCTGATGCCTTGTCCTCCTTTTTCTTCCTGAAAAGCGAAGCCCAATAGTACTTGGCAGTTGACCAGAAAAAAAATGTTCTTATTTTTCCTGTAGTGTGTTTCAATGGCAGTGAACATAATCTTAGTCTAGAAAATAAGATTGTCACCCTGGAGTTTTTCTTCTCCATCTTTTAATTCTGTACTTTTAAAAATGATCTGAAGAGTTTGAAAAGGGGCATTGCTGCAGTTTCCAGTATTAAACATTTTACTGGCAGAAGGTAATTTTTAAGACCCTTAGGGGCCCTGCCATGACTAGGGATGCTCAGTAAACTTGACTTTATACTTTTGACTGGGCCTACACTCAAAAGTTACTTCCTCCAGAAGTTAATGCTATCATACCTTCCTTGAAATATTAATAGATCTTCACAAAGACTTTGAGATCTTATGTGTCGATAATCTATAAGAAGACATCTCTCGGAAGGCATAGAGGTTTTGAAGATACTCATGGGATGTCACCTGAGAGATCACTTTCTTTGATAAGGAGTGAAACTGATCCTGTATATACTTTTGATCTAAGTCCATTGACCTGGTACTTCAGACTGAGGCATAGAATGTCTTTTGATGTATTATTTTCTATCATGTCATCAGTATAGCGGACAGGGATGAGATGCTTGGTTTGCTTGGCAAATGCCAGGTTGCATGCATGATAGGTAAACCAACAGTCCAATTCTGAGTCAAACTAAAAATCTGATTTTATTACATCCTTCAGCTATCTTAATAGCTTCAGCCCTCTATTTTGAGAAATATTACTGTGGGTTTTACCATGTATCTTCAGTTTCAAGTCTTAATTCTGGCTTGAGAGCTATTGGACTTGCATCCCAGTGGGTTCCTGCTAGCTCTGTGGGTTTTGAACTCCTCTCCTTATTCTGACCAGCAAAGCCAGGATCTTGTTGACTGAAGATCCTCAGTGCTTGGGATCAGAAAGAGCTGACAAACTGAAATCACAACCCCAGTGTCAGAAAACTTGACAGATTATTTATGTCATGGGTTCTTAAGGTCCAGTCTGAAATTCTATTTCCTGATTAGGAAAAGCTTAGGACCTGGTCTTTGTATCCCGAGGAGGCAGGAGGACATTCCTAAACAGGGGTCGAGTCTTTTGTAAAGTAATTAGGAAGTTCTCATGCTCCCTCTTTCCCCAGCCACCCACCGGGGTACTGATGCATCCAGCTCCTTTCTGCTTTTCGTATTGTACTTGAGTTCTAAGTAAATGTTCTTTCTTTTTTTTTTTCAAATGAAAATTCTATCATTCATTTACTCATTCAGATTTATTGGCTTTTTAAAAATAGCCAGTAAATTTGTATCCTCTTAGGTTTTACACTTGAATGTAATAATACAGTGCTGGAAAAAAAGCCGTTTTCTTCAGCTGTAACCAAGATGACTCTAGAGAATTTAAGTTTTAGTATACACAGTTCAGATTTTGAGGTTTGCCATAGTTTATAGTGTGGTCCACAAACAAGACCACAGCTTTAAGCCTGATCAGCCTAATCAGATTAGCTTGCTGGCAGAAGAGGTGACCCACATCTATGACCATTGTCAACAGAGAGGGTGGAAGTAATTGCTCTGAACCAATCTGAGCCTAAGCCTGTGGCCAGTGTTTGTGAATCACCATTCATTTTGCTGCTCTAGCACTGTTGCTGTTGATTTAAAATTGGGAATATGCCATACTTTTGAATTCACAATTGGATTTGTAAAACTTTAAAATGAGGCAAGTTCGTATTTGTTTCTGTATCTTCTTTTGGTTAGTTTTCACATATGAGATGATAACTGAATATACCATGTCCTTCATTAGAAAAGGAAGCCTTAAAAAAGGGGGGAAGGGAGGAGCCTAGGGAAGGATTCAGTACATTTACGTTCAACGTGGCTGTCGTTTCAGCTTTTAACCCAAATGATTTCAGTTAGATTGTTAGGCGGCTATAATTTATGCAGGACTGTTTTTCCCCTTTGACTTAGAATTAAGTCTTGATCCTTCATGTGTGGAAATTTTCTGTTCAACTGTGCTGTATTCAGTAGCTTCATTATTTATCAAGTAAGCAGGTCTAGGTCCCTCAATCCAGTACTTAACTATGTAAGTATTTTTCCGAGGTTTTAATAACTCACATGCTTTTTGTAGCAGATCCCTTCAGATTCCTTAATAGAGAATGAAAATATCTTTCATTAGGCATGCAATTGATTAGGAGGAGGGAGATTCTTTGTTCTGTGATCATTTGAAAGCAAACAAAGACACCCACAAAAGAACTTTGTAACACCATCAAGATACAGATTTAGAATTACAAAATGGTAAGTCAGCAGTTTGGAAATCAGTAAGATATATTTATTACCTTACATAGATTTATTCTCCCCCTTTCCTAGTTTACTTATTTTTTTTCCTTCAGTCTGTGGAACCATTGGTGAAGGTAGGAGGCTGGCCATGGGTACGGAGATCAGATAGTTAAACATTCATTATGGGCAGTGGAATGAGATACGGAAGCTTTTGGTGGAAGAATATATCATTTAAATCAGTATAAATCTCAACAAAGCTGTCTTTATGGCTCTTACTGGATTCCAGTGGGGACAGGACTATGTTGCTAAGATACAGCCTTGAAAAATTATTCACAAAATACAGTGTAGACTGTTAACAATCCAAGGCCAAGTATCTCAGTGCATAAATGGAATATATGAAGAGGCATGTGACTAGAGCCCCTCTCTGACTTCACCATAACCAATGAGAGATAGTTCTGTGATGGAAAGGCCATGAGCTGGGGTTGAGAGCAGGGTCTTTTCCAGGGCCTGCATTCACATAGGAAAAGAGCTTAGATAGGTTCACTCAAGTTCTCTCCTTGTCCAGAAAACATTACTTAGGTCTATGAAAGACAATAGGCTACTGGATAGAGTGTGGGAGACTACAGACCTCCAACAGATGTTGCATCTTTTTATCAGTTAACAGGGAAATTTGGGTTCAGAGTAAAGCACAGTGTTTCTCAGCTTCAACTGTATATATCTTGCATGTGGAATTGAAAAAAGGCTAACAATGAAATCACCTGGGATTCCCACAAAATGTATCAAACTTTTGTTCTTGAATAAAAGTTCTTTAGATTTTGAATGGCATAAATGACAAGGTGGTTCATCACATA